AGCTTAAGATTCTGGGAATGCTGTGGCTAGCAGCTTTCTTTCCAGTATGCAGTATGCTCACACTTGTGTATTCTACAGTCTGTGCTGCCCAGGGCCAGCTGTGGGCTGTGGTTGTCCCCAAATCTGCTTATGTCAGTTCAGGTGTACTCACTATTTTAACAACAACACAGACACATGCGTATATACACACACACACCAGACATAAAGATTTTTCCGTTTAACAACAGTGGGAAAGCTGAATGGATGTACTAGAAACCACAGTTATGGATTGCAAATTTCTGATCTTTTCCTAGGCTGGTGAGGTGTGAAGTGTCACTCTCTTGGGAGGCTGGGCAGTGGCAGCGAGCCATGGTGCCCACAAGCTCACTAGGGGAAAGAATTAATACCGTGCAGTGTGCCGAGTTGCTAAGTGAGGGATTCTGGTAGGTGGATGTGTATTTTGATGTGGGATATTTGCAGGTTACATTGGGAATATCAGTATATAACCTTATTACACGTTGAGGACTATCAGTACCAATGAAATTACTGTTCAAAGAAAGAGTGGTTGTGTCTCTGAAGACATCGCTAAATGGTTTGGAACTTGGAACGAGCTAATAAATCAAGAAGAGTTGACTGAGGTAATTGCTGGTGAATTTGTTACAGAGGAGGCATCTGGAAAAAAAAAGCAACAAAAATGTGGGAAGGGCCAATATTTACATGGTTTAAAAAATTCTTAATGCAGCTTAATAATATTCAAACTGGATAGTTTCTTTAAAAAAGAAACCCAAGTCTTTGGAAGCTACAGTCAAAGAACAGTCCTCGATCTTACCATAGAATGCCATATGTTCCTTTGTATAACATATTCATCTAGAACAGTGGTTCTCAACCTTCCTAAGGCTGCAACCCTTTAATACACTTCCTCATGTTGTGGTGACCTCCAACCACAAAATTATTATTGTTTTTTGCTACTTCATAACTTTAGTTTTGCTACCGTTATGAATCATAATGTAAATTTGATATGCAGGATATCTGATATGCGACCCCAAAAGGGGCTGTGACCCACAGGCTGAGAACTGCTGATCTGGAGGGCTTGAAGTACCTGCCCACGTGTCTTCCGGGTTTCACTTTACTAGCTCTTGCCATGAACTGAGCATCCAGAAGTCTGCATTGTGCCTGATAAAGAACTGTCAGCTCTGAACAAAGTGCCTCTCTCAGCTCCTAGGGCCACAGACAGCCTGTGGGATTGGGGTAATCAAGCCAGAAGCTTGGCATGCCACCCGCCTCATCTCCATCCCTGGTGAGTCAATGGAGGTGGCAGCTACTTTGACAAAGCGTTTTCTGTTGGTCGAATGTGAAACTCAGAGATGGCTAACTTAAGAGCCAGGAATAGCAGGGTGGCTCGGTGGGTATGGAGGCTTGGTATTCAGAATCCAAGTAAAAGGCTATAAATGAATATGTGTGGATGCATAGGGCTGAATATTCCCTGTAACTCCAGCGCGGTGAGGAGCAGAGCCAGGAGTCTTATTTGCACTCATTGGTCACGACTCTAGTTCCAGATTTGGTGAGAAACCCTGGATCAAAACATAACGTTGAGAGTCATAGGATGGGATACCTGGTATCCTATTCTAGCTTCCACATGCATACAAGTGGGTGTCCCCCTGCACCCACACACACATGCATACACCCCTTATTCCCCCAAAGTAGATAGAGCAGGGAGGGGGTAATGCAGATTTTGACTATGGGTTTATGCAGGTGGGATCATCCCAAGAAATTACTATCCTGGGTCAGAATGGCCAGACAGGTTATAGAGTGCTGAGCAAGGAACACAAGGCTGGTGCTGTAGCTGCTGACCATGAGCCCACAGGCTTGGATTTCCACACCAGAAACCTGTTCACCACAGGGAACAGGTGGTCTTGGCACTTACAGGCTTGTCTGTACCATTGGGTAGCTTTCTCCAGAGCGCTGGTTCCAGTGACCTCTAGTGGTGATAGCCAGTCCTGCAAGAGGACCTCTGGGGAATGTGAAGCCCCACACTGGCTTGTCCTATTTGTCTGTCTGTCTGCCTGCCTATCTATCTATCTATCTATCTATCTATCTATCTATCTATCTATCTATCTATCTATCTATCTATCTAT